TAGTTGTATATGTAACTTGCGTTTCTATAGCGACCACAGAGGGAGTAGAAAATAGATCAATTGAACTAGTCTGTATCTGTGCACTGTGCAGCAGAGAGCTCCCTGGGAACACCCTTCATTCCCTCATCAAAGAGAAACACCTCCAGCTAACTCACCAAAATCTATCTCAGGAATACTGTTGCTTCTATTGTTATTTTAAAACAGTCCATGTAGAAAATTCATCAGTGCCAATGAAAAATGTATTTTCCTTATACATGTGATATTTGTGCCTCAGTTTTGGATTGTGTACACATGTAACACCACTGCGATACAACCCCCTTCCTCCTGCTCAGACTCTTTGTCAATAAATCACAGGAGGCTGTTATCAACAAGGGCATCTAGCTAGCAGCACTGAACTGCACCAGACCCACCAGACCCATCGTGTGTTAGCCTACTATAACATAAATAATTTATTGATTTCAAATGTGAATAAAGAAGTATAAAATATAGTATAATTCACTGAAAGGACATGAAAGAACAGCATGTCTTTTCATTTATAGACACTACTGTCTTACAAAATTACAAAGAAGGGCTAGGTCACAGATGTAAACAGATACATTTCCAGGCCACACATCTTGCTTACAGTGACATGCAATGGCTCAAGATCTCCATATATTGGGATCTGGAAATAAGCCTCTTTTTCTGTGTCCTCTTTCTCACGTCCTCTGCTTCTCTCTGGGGGGAGTCATGTTTTTGGAATAATCCAAAAACATGCAGCATCATTTCAAAAATACACTATGAAGTAAATCAGATGCTTCACTATTGTAAATACAATAACGATAATTTGCTGTTCGAGCTGTATGACATCATAAGCTGTTTGTCATCACTGTCAAGCCAAAGCGGGTCTCTGACCACTGCAGACCAAATGTAACCTTTGTTTTTTTCTTTTCAAATATAATAACTGAAATTGTATTCAACAAAATAAATAAATTATTTAGGTGGATAACATCAGGTTATTAACTATACACTACAGCAAAGTTTAAAGTTGACATTGGATTGAAAAAGCTAATTTGTGCAGCAGAGTAAAGAATAGAAAATTGAAAGAATACAGACACTAATCAATTATTAATGAGCAAAGCAATTAAACTATTATTTTATTAGAGCTGTTTATTTAGTGTTGTCAAGAGATAGCCATCATACAGGTAAACAGAGCCTACCTGTCCCATATGCTTTGGAGACCAGCCATGTGAGATTGCAACAGATTTTGGCCCTGGAAAAGTCATAGTGCTCAAAAGGTTTCAATGCAGGAGCAACAAAGGGTCTCTTGACATCCCTGACGTCCTGGACTTCACCCATTTCTCCTTGGATCTTCTTATAACCTGTGAAGCAAACGCCGACGCATCCCACCTATTATTCCAATGCAACAAATTGCTGTTAGAGTAAACAGACTGCTTGGATTCTCGCTCTGTAGAGTTTTAAGACATTTGATGAGTTATAACATGTAGGTTTTCTGTGATCGCTTCGCTTTCTATTTATAAGACAATAACAGAGGGCAAGTCTTGTTATTTTTCATCCATTCTCGTCTTTAATCGTAGAAATTGCTCACGTTTGACCAGACTGAAGAGCTCCCGTCAAGTTTCAATGAAAAAAAAATCTTCGTTTGGACAGTGAACAACAATATTCCCATTATTCTTGTTTCGCTTGAGTCGAGAGATCCCCCCTCTCATCTTCATGAAATAGCGTCAATATGGCATGCATTTTACGGGCTCCGCTCCGCTAAACGTGCCATGGTGCGGTTTTTCTGCCGCACTGTGGCTCCAAAGCGCTGCACCTTTGTTGGGTATTGCGCATGCGTAACCATTGCCTTCAAGTCGGTTTACGGACTACAATTCCCGTCATAGACCCAATAGCCTACGTGATCATTGTGCGCCAGTGTTTGTGTGGAAGGTTTGACGAGGAAGCTTTTTGCAACAGCAACTCAAAATTAAATAATGTATTCCATCTTTTAATCTCGTTATTGTTTGCCCGATGACAACTAAAAATGTTTATGCCAAGAGCTCTCAAGGTGAAGCGATCCAGTGAGAGTTCAAATGTGGTTTTACAGAAGAAAAGTAAGACAGATGAAGAGGAGACTGCAGGGAGCTCCGAGACACATGTTCAAAACGATGTGTATGGCCAAAAAACGCAGAATGAAACCGATCACGAATCTCCTTTACAAGAATCAGATGAGGAGGACGAACCCGTGAAATCATTTAAGAAGAGCCAGAGATGGCCCGAGCCTGGGGAACCTGTCTGCGTTATGTGTGGACGCTATGGGGAATATATTTGTGATAGCACCGATAATGACGTCTGCAGCCTTGAATGCAAAGCCAACCATCTGGCTAAAATGGGAATGAGGACTGTGGGAGAGGTCTTTATTCGTGAGAGTGTTCTCACAGACGGCAGGACATCTCCCCATCAGCCTGTTTGTAATGCAGGTGATTCTGAACCTGAGTATTCATACAAGGAGGACTTTTTCATATCGGGCCTGACTGACGAACAGGTGAAGCGCATTCAACAGGAGCTGGGCATCAGTATAAAGGGAGAAGATGTCATGAGGCCTGTAGTTGAATTTGAACATTGCCACTTTCCAGTGACACTTGCTGCAAATCTGAAGAAGGCTGGATATGAGACTCCGACCCCAATACAAATGCAGATGGTTCCTGTTGGTCTCAGTGGCAGAGATGTGATTGCAACCGCTGACACTGGATCTGGGAAGACGGTGGCCTTCTTACTGCCTGTGATAATAAGGTCTCTAAGGGTATGCTATTTGATGTTACATTAATCATGACGTTTTCCGTTAGTTCTGAATTTATATTTAACGTGCTTTGTTTTAGAATAAGGTCCAAACTGTGATCAGTCCTCTGGCTCTTATTCTGACCCCCACCAGGGAGTTAGCAATTCAAATTGAGAAACAAGCCAAAGAACTGATAATGGGACTCCCCAACATGAGAACTGCCCTACTAGTGGGTGGTATGCCACTCCCTCCACAGCTGCACCGCCTCAAAAGAAGCATCAAGGTACAGTCTATAATTTCCCTTTTAGGTTGTAGTTTTTTTACATATAAAAATATATTTTTTAAATATACTTTTGTGTTCTTAGATTGTGATTGCGACACCAGGAAGACTCATTGAAATCATCAAGCAAAAGGCAGTGATTCTGGACACAATGGAGATTGTTGTTGTTGATGAGGTAAGGGAATCTCTCACACAGTCACACATGCAAAAATAACCATGCCAAATTCATTTGTTTTGTTTATGAATATGTCTCATCTTAAGACAGTTTTACCCTATTATCATTATTACTAAACATTAAGTATGCTTGACGTTAGCAGTTGAAACATTGTGGTGTTTTCTAGGTTGACACCATGTTGAAGATGGGTTTTCAACAGCAGGTTCTGGAGGTTTTGGAGCATGTCCCTGAGCACCATCAGACTCTGTTAGTTTCAGCTACTATTCCAACAGGAACAGAGGAGCTTGCTGCACGACTGGTTCAAGACCCCATTCATATTTCAGTTGGGGAGAAAAATCAACCTTGTGCCAATGTCAGGCAGATACTCTTGTGGGTAGAGGAACCTTCTAAGAAGAAGAAGTTATTTGATATACTTCACGTATGTTTAAGACAAATAACAATAACAAAAAAAATTATTTTTACAAGTTTTACTTTAACACAGTATTTTTTTTATTATTTAGGACAGTAAACTATACCACCCTCCAGTAGTAGTATTTGTCGACTGCAAACTGGGAGCAGATCTCTTGTGTGAGGCAGTCGCCAAGGTGACAGGACTAAACTCTGTCTCAATTCACTCTGAGAAGACTCAGTGGGAACGCAACCGTATAATTCGGGTGAGAATAATAATATCCACAATATAATAAAACAAGTCAACAACAAGGCTAATAAAATAACACGTGTACACTGCCTATATGTTTTTCCAGGGCCTTTTGGATGGAGACTTTGAGGTGGTAGTCAGCACTGGTGTGTTAGGCAGAGGTCTGGACTTGGTTAATGTCAGACTAGTGGTTAATTTTGACATGCCAAATTCAATGGATGAATATGTACATCATGTAAGTTGTGTGTACCACTGCTGCCTATACACCTTTTTACTTTCTGTTGACAAATGGTATTTTTTAGTTTTTATTTGTGTGTTTTATTTCCATAGGTGGGACGAGCAGGTCGGCTGGGGCACAGAGGTACAGCCATCACGTTTCTCAACAACAACAACAAACGACTTTTTCTGGAAGTAGTGAACAGAGTCAAACCCACTGGTTCAATTCTGCCTCCACAGCTGCTTAATTCACCTCATCTCCATGAGCAACAGAGAAGAGCAAAATTAAAAGCAGGGTCTAATGACACAGTGGTGACTCAAAACAATATTATTGACATTATAAAGAAGCATAATCATTCAAAAAAGTAAATTTCCTAGACATGTTCTGTCATTTGTAAATATTTGTGTAAACTGTTATTAAAAATATGAAGTTTGTACCAGTAGCCTACAGATTATTTATATTTACTGTAATACTGTAAGGATATTTCTCAGAAATATATCTCACAGGGTGACCTTCAAAACTGCAGAAAAAGAGGGACACGAGGGAGGTTGAATGTGATGGACAAGGACAAGGAGTACATGATCGTAATCAGGATATTTAAGACCATAGATTAGAAGTGCAATAACACCATAGTTTTTATTTTACAATCCTGAAAGCCATACACCCGCAAGCCTTGTTTTCTCTGCATAAAAAAAGAATATTACATTGATGATGCATTGATGCAAAAGTTTAACCAGAACCTTAATGTCTGTGAAGCACTCGAGTCTCTGCACTTCTTAATAAACAAGATAGATTTATAATCACACTTCCAGGCTAATGTCTCCACCCAGTGTCGGATTATGGCATTTCGGACCCTACGTGCCTACGTAACGTCAGTTAAGATTTCAACCAATCAGCAGTGAGTTTGAAGGATGGTTTGAAAATGCGGCGGGCGAAGGCGGAAGCAAGAAGAAGAACATAAACAAAGCAGCTTTGACTGTAGGGATCGCAGAACAAATCATTTTTTGTATATTTTTAATATTGTTTGATTTGTATTTTTGCTACAAGGGTATGTACATTAAGCGAGTTTACTTGCTTTAGAAACGTGATGTGTAGGTAAAAAAACAAACAAAACGAATGCCGTTAATTGTAGTAATATTGCTCTTGCTCTAATTTTAATTTGAGGTGTTTTATATTTGAAAAGAGATTACAATGTCGCTTTTTAGTGTCCAAGCGAGGAAACATACAGTGTATTATGACCATCTTCTGTCAGGTGGGAGGGCTATAAATCGAGATGTAAAAGACTCGGTAAATTCGGTAACACTGGATTCTGTAAACGAGGACAATGGCAAGACGTCGGAAAGGAGTAGGCAAGTGAACAGAACATATGTGGTTTCTACACCGCAGACTCCTTACCACGGTCGCCTCACACTACAGAGGAGGTCAAAAAGGAAATCTGGGAGTGAACGAACATTTGTAGTAGACAACAGCCAGAGCAGCACGCCAGCAGCAGCAGCAGCATCAGCGGAAAAGAGACTGACACTGCAGAGAAGAACCAGGACGCCTTCGTCCATGGATAAGAGCGTGAATCGCGGGTCGAGGCTTAGCAGCAATGCTCACCTCGCTGCATCAAAAGTTTTGACTGAACCAAACGGCAGGACAACCGCTTTGGTTCGCTCAGTTAGTTTGAAAGATGGAGGAAAAAGTTACAGAAGAAAAAGTGGTATCCGCATCGAAGGCAAGGCAAAGGTGACAAACGGCTCAACGCCTTTGTTACTAAAATCTACTGCTAGGCATTTGGAGAAAGATGACAAAGGTTTTAACACACCCACCAGAAGGACCCAATTTGAGAAAATAGCTGCAAAGCGAGATGTGTTTGAAAAACTGGCAGCTAAGGAAGCCTCTAAACCACTGCATAAAACCTCAAGTCTAGAAAGATCCAAGTCACGAATACAGCAAAATGGTGATTCAAAACCTGTTCCAGCTCCCAGAGTTGGCAGAGTCACAAACTCTGTGACCAATCTGAGTACCACAACTGCCACTCCAAGAGGAGAGTCCGCCAGGCCGAGAACAACCACCACTGCACCTACCCCAGTGCAACCGGAACAGTCCCTTTCCCGACCAAGTGAAGTTGTGAAGCAGCCAGATACTCTACAAATGGAAAACAGTGCAGTTACTGTTGCAGTTCGTGTCCGCCCTTTTAACACCAGGTTAGTGGTGTTCTTCTGAGGTTGTAATGGGTTGTTGATCTAATATTTCAATTAATTATTTTCTTGTTTTAGGGAAACGACAGAGAAAACTTTGCAGGTCATTTTTATGAATGGCCAAGAGACTGTAGTCCACCATCCAGACACAAAGCAAAGCTACATTTTTGCGTACGACTTCTCTTTTTGCTCAGTGGACATCAGTGACTCTGCCTTTGCAAGCCAGCAGACGGTTTATGAGAGCTTGGCCAAACCTCTCTTACACCGGGCATTTGAGGGTTACAACACCTGTCTCTTTGCCTATGGTCAAACTGGCTCAGGGAAGTCTTACACGTGAGTATTTTGCTTATTTTGTATAATCCATCCGTCTACTCAGAAGATCAATCAACATTTTTCCTTGTCTGAATGTATAAATGACACTTTAGAATGATGGGGTTTGGCGATGAGGCAGGCATAATCCCCCGATTCTGTGAAGATTTATTTTCAGAGTTGACTTCTTTGAAAAGTGAAAAGGTACCTTTTATTTTACTTATCACAATGTTATATTTATTAAAGAATGTTTCTTTTATGTCCACTTTAATGTTGTGTGTTGTGTTTCTTGCTCTAGGTTAATTGCCATGTAGAAATGAGCTATTTTGAAGTGTACAATGAGAAGATTCATGATCTGCTTGTCACCCGGGATGATCCCAATCAAAGGCACATGCCAGTAAGAAGAAAAAATGTATTATTAAAAAAAGACAAATAGTGTATTATTTTTTTTATCCATGTTACACCATGCAACAAGTTAACAGAGAAATATTTTGTTTTCAGTTGAGAGTCAGAGAACACCCAGTACATGGCCCTTATGTGGAAGCACTTTCTGCGTAAGCGATTCTATTTTTTTATTAAAAGAAAAAACAAGTCATCAAAACTTGTAAATTTTCTGTTTTTACAGTAATGTTGTGGGCTGTTATGAGGACATTCAGGCGAGTTTAGTAAATTATTTCATTACAGTATTGAGTCATAGTAACTTTTTAAGGGTTAGCTTTACATGTTTGTTGTCTGTTGTATCTAGGGTTGGCTACAGCTTGGCAATAAACAAAGAGCTACAGCTGCAACTGGAATGAATGACAAGAGCTCCAGATCACACTCTGTCCTCACCTTAGTTATGACCCAGACTAAAGTATGACTATTTTAATGCAATCATATAAACTATTTTATTAGAAGATCCACTGATTTTTAACTTTTTCTTTTTTACAGACTGAGTTGGTTGAAGGAGAGGAACATGACCACAGCATCACCAGCAAGATAAACTTGGTGGATCTGGCGGGCAGTGAACGCTGTAACTCAGCTAAAACCAGTGGGGACAGACTCAGGGTATACCACAATTTCATAATTTGTTTTTTGTTATATTAACATGCATGATTATTATTTTATCCTTGCTTTTATAGGAAGGTGCTAGTATCAATAAATCCCTTTTAACGCTTGGAAAAGTCATTTCAGCGCTTTCTGAGCAGGCTTTGAGCAGAAAGAAGGCTTTCATACCATACCGCGAGTCTGTTCTTACCTGGTAAGAGTACATTGCCATATTATTTTATTCATATTTTTTATTTAAATATTTTAATTTACATAACTATTACATTGTTTACATTAACTGCAGGCTGTTACGGGAGAGTCTTGGTGGAAACTCAAAGACGGCCATGATTGCTACGCTCAGCCCAGCTGGTTGTAGTGTGGATGAAAGCCTCAGTACCCTGCGCTATGCTCAGCAGGCTCGGACTATCATCAATGTTGCCAAGGTCAATGAGGATACCAACGCCAAACTCATCAGAGGTATGACACATACATTGCTGAAGATCTTGCAAATGTGAAATGTGTGTAAAAGAAACTATCTCCAATAAAGAATCATTCCAAATAGCTTTATTATGTAAACTAGTGGTTTCAAGTGCCTTGAAGTTTGAATCTATAATCACTATTGTTCCCAAGCGTAATATTTTTTAGATTTAACAAATAATGCCTCTTAGTTTCTATTTGTGCAGCCAGACAAAGTTGCTTTTAAAAATCCTTTTAATACTCCTGAGAATGAATTTAATTGTTTTGTTATTCCACCTTTGGACACTAAGGGGAGCTGTTGTCTCTCCATTATTATGGAATTATTGGCATAACTAGACTTGTACAGTTAATTCAGTCATTCAATCAGCTCCCTGCTTCTAGTCACGACATTTATGACATGTTTATTTTCTTTTATTTTTAAGACCTAAAGGCAGAGGTGGAGAAGCTAAGAGCAGCTCAGATGAGCGCCCAAGGTGTAGAGCCTGAGAGAGTCAAACAGTTTCAGCAGGAGATTGTGGCCTTAAGGAATAAACTGTGCCAGCAAGAAAAAGAAATGGTGGAGGCCAACAGGCAAGTAATAAACCTCTCTATATTAAATGATCAGTGAAAAAGCTGAAAATTAAATAAGACATAATCTACAGTAATAGTGTAGGATCATGCCAGGATAAAAATATTATATATGGCTCACTCTATAACTGTACAGGGCATGGAGAAAAAAACTTGAAGAAGCAGAAATTCGTAAACGTGATGAGGCCAAGGAGTTGCAGGTTAATTTTGATATTCCATTATACAGTTTAAATGTAGTAGTTGGTAAATCCTTGATTTTCCTTTTATTTTATTTTTCCAGAAAGCTGGTGTGACATTCAAAGTAGACAACCGTCTTCCAAATTTGGTCAACCTCAATGAGGATCCACAGTTGTCTGAGATGCTTTTATACATGATCAAAGAGGGCCAAACAACAGTAGGGAAAATGAAATCTAATTCAACCCATGATATTCAACTGACAGGAGCTCTGATTGCAGATCAACACTGGTATGAAAAGCATCATAAAAATGCTCCTATGTTTCTTAATATCAACAATAATTTACTTTTTTTCTTCAGTGTTATAAGCAACATGCAAGGTACTGTAAGCATTACGCCAATGGAAAATGCCAAGACTTTTGTTAACGGCAGTCTCATTTATGAATCCCATGTTCTTCATCACGTAAGTAATTTCCCAAAAGCTTCATTATCCTGTGTAATAAAGTGTAATTTAATCATAAACCGTGTTTTCAGGGCGATAGAGTGATTTTGGGTGGGGACCACTACTTCCGCTTCAATCATCCAGCAGAGGTTCAGTCTGGGAAGCGGGTGTCTTGCTGGACAGGTGCAGGCGATGGGCACAAAGATTTTGAATTTGCCAAAAATGAGCTGCTTGCAGCTCAAAGAGCACAGTGAGTTAAATTTTATGCACTACACATAACCATTAAAATGGGTATTAATCAAAATAGCTATTTTGTTTTCATTCAAGACTAGAGGCAGAAATTGAAGAAGCCAATTTAAAGGCTAAAAAAGAAATGATGCAGGGAATACAAATGGCGAAAGAGGTGGCACACAAAGAACTCTTGAACCAAAAGGCTCTTTATGAAGACCGGATTCGAGCACTAGAAAGAGAGCTGGTAATGAAACATTCATTAAAAATGTTTTAATAATCTATCTTTGTTGTATGGAGACATGTTTTGCAAACAGTATGATCTTTGTTAGCATACAGAAAATGAACGCAAACGTCAGCAGGAACTAGACAAGCAAAAGGTGGCTTGCCAGATGAAAGATCTCAAAATGGCCAAGTTGGAGTTGGAACAAGAGGTTGACACCCAGAGGAAACGCCTCCGCTTGCACATGGAGGCCCAGGTCAGACTTGGCACAAAAAATCTGAACATCTGTGACCATATGACTTTGTTTACTATGTTAAAGCTTTAGGCTCTGATGAAGGTACTCATCATATGTTGTTTCCCTTGGGTGTATTTCATATTTCTTATTATTTAACTTCCAGGCAATGGAGGAACATCGGGTCACTCAAGCTAAGATTGTGGAGGCTCTTGAGGCGGAAAAAAAGAAAATCAGCAGGGAGCTTGAGGAAATCCAAAAGAAAAGAGCTTTAAGGGAAAACCAAAGTGTCAAAAATGGTGAGTTTGCTATTTTAGACTGATCATATCTAATTTAGTTACCACATGTATTTTAAACCACTGTGTTGTAGATTCTCCTAAATGGAATGCAATGAAGCTGTCCTTAATGATTGAAGAAGCCAACAAGATAAGTACGAAGCTTCGGAAGAACACAGTTTTTAGCAGGTAAGGTGGTCGTGTGTCAGAGGGCTAGAGGAGAGTATTTGTTAAACACTCCTGATGTTTCTTCTGCTGCAGACATGAAAGCTCTGAGAATGATCAAGGTGGGCTCCATGTTCGGGTACAGAACACAAAGCTTGGGATCTCCACATTTTGGAGCTTGGAAAAATTTCAAAACAACATGGCTGTCATGCGAGAACTTGAACAGGTTTGTCTTTTTTTATGTTATTGCTAAAATAAAATAATGTATGTTTTACTTCATAAGGCATTTACCAGAAAATGTACCTGTGTATAGTAAACTTATAAACTTATTCTCTGCTCAAAATCTATTGGCAAAGTGAATTCCTGCCTGTAATGTCCTATTTTTAGTGTTGACAATATCAACATGTGTAGAAAATGTTTGGTCATGACACCAGTGATTTTATCTCTGCAGGAGGATTCTAGCTTTAAAGATGACGATGTGTTTTATGACCCTGATGATGAGTGGGAGCAAGATATATCGGCCTCCTCTTCCTCCTCTTTTTCACGGCGCAGGTAATTATACATTATTTACATCCTGTCCTCATAGTGTGTCTTGCTGTAATTTAATTTATACATTTTTATTCCTTGCATTTCTTTTACAGTTAACAGCAATTTATGTAATACAAAAGGTGTGTTTATGAATGAAAAAAAAAACAAAAAAACTTAAATTTTGTCTGATTTTATTTGATTATAGGAGTAGAAGCCTGTTAAAAAGTAGGAGAATTTCTGGCAAACTGTACGAGATCAGAGTTCATCCAATCCAGAGTCTTCATAATGGTTCCACCCAAACTTCTGGTAAAAAAAAAAAAAAAAGATAGATAGATAGATATAGATAGCACTATGTCCTCTTTTGCATCTCAGCCTGCCTATGTCCTCCATTCTTTTCAGGTTTAATGGGTGGTACCAAACCTCCGTCCACTTCTCCAAGCTCAGCAGACTCTGCCATACCAGGAATCTGTAAGGAGCTGATTGGCCAATCAGTAGCTCTTCTCCGGAGTTGTAATACCTCAGAGGAAAGTTTGGCAGACCGACTGGCCTCTGATCTATACATAGTTTACACAGCAGCCCAAACGATCTCTGATTTGTATGACAGCCTGGATGAGGACAATACAGAAAATGGTAAGAATATATGTTTGTATTAACTGAAATATATTTTGTTAAAGGACATTACTCATTTTGGAATTTTCCTGCAGTATTCATAGGTAACCCTGTAGCACAAACTCAAATGGTCAAGTCGACTATAGCCATGGAGAGTGCGGTGTTTGTCACCATGCAGTGGTTGGCAATAGTGAAGTCTTCCTCAGGCCTGCTCTACACAATCACAGAAGAACTTAAGAGTCAAGTGAAGAAAATGGGAGGATTTTTTCAACTTCTGATACAGGTACACATGAAAAATACTTTAGCCCATTACAGGCAACAGACTTGCATAATATACCTTTGCTTTTCAAGGCACTTACTGTCAATATTTTAGTCCAAAACCGCTGGAAACACATTTTCAGCTGAGTGCAGTTTGGGCATGGGGCTGGCTAATCAAAATGCAAAGGATTGATTGACTGGTCTTAGCTTTGAGCTGTTTGAGCTCTGTCTATGGAAATAGCCAAGCAAAGGGAATTCTCAACCTTGAGCCCCAAACAGCACATGAATATATGGAAAATAAATCTAAATTCCTTACCAGGCCCAGGACCTAAACACACAATTTCACACCCTGGCTTAGATTCTTGCTCAATGTGTAGAATTTAAATGTAACAAATGTGTCCTACGGCATGTGCATGTTTGTGTGTAGAACCATTTGCTGTGAATCACCAGTGCATAAATTATGTTATAACATATTTGTCGGGCTGTGCTGATTTGATGCTCTCTGAAAGTTACTTGTTTTTCATGTACAGGGTTGTGAGTCTGAAATTACGTCAATGGTGACAGAAGCTCGGCGGAAGAGTAGCCAGTGTCTGAATGCAGCGTTGGTTACGATTTGCCACTTGGCAGCAGTGACAGGCTTGCCTCTGAATACTATTGCCCTCACAGCTCAAGCCACTGGCAAGGTAATGCCGCTAATAATGCCACTCATTTTACATAACCCTAACCCTAACAGCCGTAGGGAAATTTAGTAAATTTCTCTTGTCATCATTTTACAAAAAATGCAGTTATGATTTTTATAAATAATGCATTACTTTTTTCCACTGTAGCCTTCAATGATCACATCTCTGCTGAAAGGAACTAGTAAAGGGCTTCATTCTCTCTTAGAGGAGAACCTCAACATAACCAGAGAAATGCTGAGGGATGCCCAGTTGGCGTATCCACAAAATCCGGTAGGACTTAAGTATGAAAAAAAAGTGACTCTGACAACTCTCATTTGAATATGAATCAGTTTAAACAGAATGAATAGTCACAGTATATTGAGATTGGCCTTCATTTATCAAATATACAGCAAAACTGGGTGTATGGTGTTAGGCAAAAACAATACTAAGCAATTTTTTTAAACAGTTTGAACATGTGCAAATTTGCCCATCATAACACACCCACTGGCGCTCCCATTACTCTCATCCTGAGCCTAGGCCCAGCCAAAAGTGCTCACCACTGGTTCAGACTGAGTTTGGGCTGGGATTAGTGGTTCACCTATTGTTTCTGTATCTTAAAATAATGGACTTGCATTGTCAAATAATTACCTGAACTGATGTTGTGATAAGTTAATCTTCAGATAGCAAATATATTCTTATTCTACACTTATTCTACGATATGCATTGCTATGATACTCTTGTCTGCAAAATGCACTTTTTGCATTATTTTGTGCCTATAAACCCTATTGAGAAGTAATCTAAACCTTAATTAAGATTCATAACTGTCTTGCTTCCTCCAAAATAGGTACAAATATACAAACATCTTTGCTCATAAGATGAAGGCCTTTTATTAATTTATGTTTGCAGGTTTTACAAAGCCTTAAATCAAAGGTACTTGACTTGGCTCGTGCTCTTCAGAACTACATGCTTTACCATATCTCTGTAAGTATGGTCCCACAGCTATAATTTAATAACGTTTGTGGCCAATTGAAATGACTTTGAGCTACAGTTGGTATAAAAGTCTTGACTCCTCACCTGACAGTTCTGGCAGGTTCTTTGTTCTGGATTGGTTCTTAAACTCTGTGTTTATCTTTTTGCTTTGTTAAGCACTCAGGTAATACATGTCTGAAGAGAATAAAGTCCAATCGGTCAAAGCTGAGTTTGTTTGCCTTTATCTTTGCTACACACCAAGCATCTTTGTTACCAGTGACTTGCAATACTGTTATGTATGAATGGATCTCAGCATATGTCCATTTCTGTTTCTACCAAAATTTTTTTTGTGAAAAATTGGAAAATAGTTTAGTCATTGGTAAATCTATTATCCTTAATTTGTGTTTTTGTTGGCAGGAAATGCAGGAGAAAAAAGAGTTTGAAGAAGCAGCTTCAACTTCAAGTTGCCAAAAACTGAGAACAATAGTGACCCAGTTGTTTGAGCTAAACCAAGTTCTTGGACAGCTGAATTGTTCTTTATCCACTGCACTTCGAGGTACTGATATGTGGGTTTTTATGCAGTGCAAAAACCCAAGTTGTTGAAACATTTACTTGACTTGTATTTCTACTGATTATGCAAAATAATAATACTGTTTCGTATGTAATATGCTTATTCAATTCTATCACATTTTTTAGGGATAGACACAGATGTTAACGTTGGAGGCTCTAGAGACCTTATCTCATCATCAGCCAGAAGAGTGGATGAGCTCATAACTGGTCTCTTTAAGGACAGAGAAGGGATGCAGTCTGCCCCATCTCCAAATACTGTACACAATGATATTAATTCTGCCCTCCACTCACTGTGCCTGCCGTGGCCACAGCACGCAGAAGGGGAGGGAGGAGCAGACACTTCAGAGAGGAGCTCAGGAAGTGATGCCTCATGCCAAAAAAGTGCTACCATTCACAGCACAGTCAGAAATAGAGTTTTTAGTAAAGTAGTCTACGCTTTGCCTTCAGGTGGGATAGGTGGAAGTCCACGCTGGGTTTAATGCTTATTTATTTCTGTTTTTAAATCACGTTTTACTGAAAAAATCTCTTCCAGTGCTTTGTAAGTGGTACATTCTCTGTCATAAATCGAGAATATTGCAATGTATGTAACAGATTTCATCTGAATTTTAACAGCTTCTTTGGTGTTATATTATCCTTTTATACTTGTGATTTTATCACGCACACACACACACACACACACAGGCATGTAATATTTTCTACCATGTTTCAATACTTGTAATGTACAGGGTCTCTAAAATACATGCTATAAATAAACATGCAATAAACGTGCATATGAAACAAAATATTGTTTTATTTTATATATGTAATGCTAGTGTCTCTGAGCAGGCTTTCACAATCTTAACATCTTTTGTGAAGTTGGAAATACAAAGTTTTTATCCTTTTTCAATTAATATTTGAATATTCTCACTATTCCTCTATCATTCTGAGAAGAGAAGAATTTCACCTCGGATTACATAATTTTGGTCACTAATCTTGAAGATACAAATCAAACCTAGCGGCTCTGACACGTGTTGCATCCCGGTCTGGGGCAGCCCTCTGCTCTGCTAAACTCTGGGCTACACCCTCCGTTCAGCTTCAGTGCATCCTCCCACTGCAGCTGGAGGAAGCAGAGGGCTGCTTCTCCAATGACGACCGAACTCACGAACAATAGCTGAACTAGAACCTAAGGATTTAGCCTCTCGCTAATAGGCTATTTAGATGCTGCTTTTGCCAGACGTGCGCTCATTGGAATGACAAGAACCGCGCCAAAAGTGACTCAGGTAAACCACACGAAAGGCCTAATCTTTGCATTTTATAAACTAAAGTGGACAAACCCTTTATCCCGTTTAATTGTTTACTTTTCAGAATGCATAAAACCGTGTGGATAAAAATTAAGATTTTTGTAAGTAACATTTGACAATTGATTTTCTTGTAGAACTATTTGATCTTAACTCTTGAAGATGCAAACTTGCTCAATATTTTCCCTGAAAGAAATGTGTTTTTGTCATTGTGCAGTAGGGCTATTTGGCCATTCTGTCTGGTGGCCTTTATACTACATATTAACTATAGCTTAACCATATATTTCATTTCAGGTTTGTCTTCAGAGCTTTTTATCAGGTAGGTGACTCAACCTGTGGAATTGCCGATGTATAGTTTGATGTTAGAATACTGGGTATCTTATAGACCTATAGGAGTTGTAGCCTACATTGTAACTAAGCTTAACCAAAGCTTACTGACAGCAGTAATGTGGTTATAGCATTAAAAACACAGGGCATCATATTTTATCTGAAAATGTATGACTAATAATTCCTTGTACCCTGCCTGCTCTTTGGTTAAAGCCCATTTGTCTGTTAGCAGCCTTCAGTGCTTCACATGATGAGACATACTATGAGTATGTGCCTGACCATCTGCAGTGGGAAGAAGCAGAGAGAGTGTGTAAGCAGCGTTCAGGAGCCTTAGCCTCTGTATCTAGCTCTGCAGAGAACCAAGACCTCTCTACCTTCCTCAAATCCTTGAACATTTCTCAGCCAGTGTGGATTGCCAGGAAAACTGTGGCAGACACACAAGGTAGGTCCACTCTGTCATTTTAACATATTAGCACTCATTTTCAAACATAGTCTTTGTGTATATTCTTTTCAAACATTGCATTTGTTTAAAATGGAACTGACAATTTTGGCATGAAATTTTGAGCCACAATGTTTACAGTAAGAACACGAGGACACAGTGGAATTGTGTTGCATACTTTCCAAGAATAGTGCCAAACTTTGCACTAATGCCTCTTTTCCCTGTGTGTGATGGAATAAAGGTTCTGAAAGCCTCATTCTGGAGTTCGCTGGGCGGTCGGACACGAAGAGTGCTCGCCTCAGACACAAGTTTACTTCTATGGACTCCATGACCGTTTGCACCAAGCTTCGCTTTGATCCAAACTGCTTTGGAATTTCTTCTGTCTTTTCCTACTCCATCCCGTCATACAGTCATGAATTTCAGCTTCGTGCAAACCTAATCAAGGCAAAGCCCGTGCAGCTGGCTCTGTTGGTCCATGGCATCCATGGGCCTTACCATGAAGCTTTTGAGCATGACAGCTCTTGGCACTCAGTCTGTGTTTCATGGAGCCAAAATAGGGGACACTGGGCCATGTTTGCAAATGGGACTTCTGTCTCCATGGGCGATGGCTTACACAGCTCCAGCCGGATTGGCCCTGATGGTCTTTTTGTTATCGGCCAGGAGCAGGTCACCTTCGGGGGTCCTTTCAAAAAGCGTGAATCATTCTCTGGTAGCATCACACAACTGCACATTTGGGATCGAGAGCTGACCAGCCATGAAATCCGCACCATGGAAAACCTGTGTTCACCTCCTTCTTCTGGGCTTATGTTCAAATGGAGTGAAGAGGCTATGGAAATAGAATCCACTGTCACAAAGCTAAAAGATAGGACGTGTCAAGGTACAATAGCGAGTACGCATCATGTATGAAAAAACGTTATCTGAGCGCCAAATCACAGCATTTAGCTCACTTTTGTTCAGTAAAGCTGGTGGATTCTATGCAAATGTCACTTTCAGTTCAGTTTTTTGTTTTGAAGTTGGTGGGTGGAGTTGCTAAAACAGTACATACAGATCATCTAAGAAACATTTTGGATTGAATACTTAGCTTGAATCATGCAAAGATTTATTTTGATGTTTAAGTTCAATCTATTTGACAACAGAAACCTGATAATTGAAACCTTATGAATATTTTCGACATTAGGTGAACAGACGTTTAATCCTTTTAAACTATAAAAAGCCTTTCTGGTTTGTTGAATATCCAGTAATGTGTATGGTTCTGGGCAACAGAATTATCTTGAGTATTTCCTCCTAATGTCTCTTTATAACACTGGCAGAGTTTAAATGATCTAGTTTCTCTTCAGTCTGTGTGTAATATGAGCTTGTGACTACAGTAATTGGCAACCGCAAGGGCTCCCAAATGGTTGTAAATTTTTAGAGAGTCACATCATTCAGAATCCCACCCTTAAAAACAAACTTGTGCTGTTCTGACATCATTGTCCCCAGTGAACAGTCAGGGGCCAGACACCCCTTCTCTGTGCTCATTCTCCAAGTTTAGGGGAACTCCAGTAGAATAACTTGCATGACTTGTAACACTTAAAGGTGCACTCTATAACTTTTGATGGTGAAGGGTCTGCCACCTGGTGGTCTCCATGGAGATGTTATTGCTTTGCCTGTAATGTTCCACAGTATGACTTTTAAATCATCTAGCTCCATGAAGGCAAGCAGATGACGCCAAAAAGCTAAGTTACATGTCAGATCTGTGGACAGACAGAAAGATAATTAATTGTAATGACATACTGTGGAACATTCCAGTCAACGTGATAATATCTCCACGGAGACAACAAATATGTAACAAATAACATGTCAGTTGCATAATGCTAATTTGATCTTTTTATCCCTGTATTTTTTAGCAGATTTCACTGCTATTTCAAACGTTACTTTTATGAGAGTGTTGGAGGACGGTTTCCTATCAAACAGCTACTCTATAAATATACCACTGAAGAAGCTGCCTGTTGTGGATTGTGCTGCCTTTGATCCGGTTGTAAAAAATATGAGCCAAACCACATGCGATTCATCCCAAGGGGCTGTTTGTCAGTTTAAGAAAGGTAACAGTAAGCATTCTTATTCATTTATTAAAGCACAGAACCCCCCAAAATAATACAATTTCTTTTATCTTTTTTGGTCTATACTAACCGGTGAGTGGACTCTACTATTATAAACTATTCTGTAATAATACTAAATATGAATATCATTCTTTTCATACAATAATCTATTTCAGGATACCAAAGAATTAAACATGAATACTTCACGGAAAGGAGATCTGAAGTTGTTGCAGCACTTGACTCAGACTGTGCTACATGACTTCGAAACTGGGGCTATATCTAGTAACTCCTCGAAGGATCTTCTTCTTGTGTTGAAGCAAATTGAGACTGGACTGTCTTCTGCCACTGCTTCAGAAGTCTTGGTGTCCATTGCTACAAACTTCATTAAACTGGCTAGTCTGCTGTTGGAGCCCCACATGGCAGCAAAGTGGATGGGACAGACGGTAGATGGAGTGAGTATATGAACCTTATTTACTATTAATTAATACTGACATCATGTTGGGAGCTTTCTACATGTATATATAGTGGATTGTTCAACAGTTACCATGGTGACACAATGCACACATTAGCAAACACAGTCAAAATAGTTCTTAGATGATAGTCTGAAAACTCAAGTAAAAATACAAAATGTATTTTAACCAGTAGCGATTTCTCATTGATTACAAGAGAAATACTATTGTCATTAATATTGACATTTAACAGTTTTAAAAGTCCATATTTTTAATTTCGTAAGTATGTTGCTCATAACTTAGCTAATGTCAGTTTGGTGTGAGGCTCCTCTCCTCTCTCTGTCATACAGGGCTGTGTGACTGCTGCAGAGAAGCTGGCTGTTTGGCTATAGTTTGGACACTCCTGGTTTAAAGAGAAATTAATTTCACTTTGTTACTCTAAAAAAATCCACTGATGATCAGATTTTTTTGTGCACGTAAACATACACCAAAAATCAGATCAAATTATTGGATTGTGTGATTATTTTAGTTCTCACATTTTACACAACTTCACAACTTTGCCTGCATCCTGTTTTTAATAAATATCTATTTTTATGCGGACTCCATGATAAGGTTTGTCACAAAGTGGCTTAGGGTTCGAACAAGATGGAGTCCACACATGTTTAAAAAAGGTACAAATGTAGATACTTATTAAAAGCAGGATTCAGGCAAAGTTATGGCCACATGATGGAAAGGAGAAAAGCAGCCAGCTTTTAAAGATGGAGGGCCACGCCCACAATCAGGTGCAGCTCATTAGGTTTGCTCTCCCACTCTCTGGAATCTGGAAGGGAGGGGGGTGAGAGCCAGCAGCAGCACAAACACGCACCCACAAAGTAGAGACCCAAGCTGGGGTGTAAATATATGAATGCACATTTAAACTGTGATCCTTAATGGGAGTTGGTATCACTGTAAACATCACAGATCACACTAGTGAGCAGCACTTTTTTTTTTTTCATTTGTACCAAAATCAGTAAGAGAATAAAACTGGAGAATGGCCTCCAAGTCTACCAGGGCAAATATAGCTACAGAAATAGCTTACTCACACTGATATAGTGGTTGAATAATGCATTGTCATATGCTTTGTGTGCTTTTATTATTTATTTATCATTATTTGTTAATATTTTTTTTTTTACTGGCTCACTGATTGTGTGTTTTCATTAATCTTCAGGATAGTGTGGGACCATTTGATATTGTCAAAACTATTGACATTCTCACTGAAACTCTTGCTGACATGTTCTCAGTAGAAAAACGTAATTTTACACTCTTCACAAAAAATATTGGTAAGATTTCTAACTTTGTTAAACAAAAAATACACTCAAACCTAATGAAAAATCTGAATCCCTGTTTCCTGTGTTCCTCTCCAGGTGTAGATATGAAGTGTCAAAGGCTTTCTAATGCAAGCAAAAGTGAAGTCTTTAAACCCTCCACTTCTCACTCTTTCTCTGTTAGCAACAGTGATCAGGACAAGCTGCTCATATCTGACACAGAACTTCAGAGGTTACACAGACAGGGTAGGCCTATAGTGAAATGACCGTGGCATAAAAAGTAAAAATATGTACTATAATCTATTGGTGCATTAACTTTGTCTAGTATCACAGTTTTTAAATTCTGTTTATACCTAGTTTTTTAGTATGAGTACTACAGAAAAACAAGTCAAAGTTGAATGTTTGTGTTGAAAATGACATAATCTATTAAAAAAGAGGGGTCTAATCATAAATTTGCAATTGAAATTGGTATTGACTATTGAGCATTTTCCTTAGTATCAAATTGAGTTTGAAATGTGGCATCTCGACAACACTAATTACATAACTATAACTACATTACCTAACTATACACAGTTTTTTTATTTTTTTATTTTGCATTTAAAATATTGGAGATTGATTAGTGAGACTTTAGAAATACACAAATTTTCCTTTCATACCAGGATATGAAGATGTGGTTCTTATCCACACCCACTACAGCAATCTGAATGACATTTTGGCTGGAGCTGAGCAGGCTGCCCATAATGCTAAAAACTCACATAAAGACAATGTAAGGTAAGCAATTTTAAACTATGACATTTTTTTGAATTTAAAGTTGCATACTGGAACATTTTCTTGTGTTTTCAGAGATAATCCTCAGCATCTTGCTTCTGCTGTCATATCAGCCACTGTTCGAGGCAGTGTAAAACCAAAGAACATCCCTGTTACAGTTCATTACACACTTTCAACGTCTCATAAGGTACTGACCATAGTATTTTAGACCATTAACTATTCTTTCTGTTTATATCAACTATTCCCTTGTGTCAAACATGCTTTTATACCTCTATTTTTAGGCCAAGTCTTCCCAGCAAAGTGTCTGTGCCTTTTGGAATTTCAGTCTCATGTAAGCTCACAGTTGCTTAGTTTACATGCACACTAAAATATGATTATTATCTGATTTCTTGACCTTTAAGATTATTTAAATGGTATGCGAGCTATAAATGATATAAGATGTGAGTAATCAGAAAGAAATTGTGTGATTTTGCTGTTAACATGTCATTTTCATAGATTCATAACTCCAAAAATCTAATGCTAATCACACAGATTACTTGTAATGTTTCTACAGGCAGATGAACCGCTGGTCCAGTGATGGCTGCACAGTTGTATCTGCAGATGCTGGTGTTGTGACCTGTCTTTGCAACCACACTACCAACTTTGCTGTGCTCATGAATTACCTTGAGTCAGAGGTGTGTGAAATATGTAAAAAAACAAAACAAAACATCAACATATAATATCAAAGAAAATGATTTTGTTTTTTGTTTGTTTGTTTTTTCATCTGAAATCTTTATAATGGGTATATATTTTTATTTATTTCATTAATTAGCATAATTTGTCACTTTTCAAGACTTTAGGGCTGCACAATTTAATTTTAATCCCCAAATGTGAGTTTTTGTCTTGAAAGTCAGACAAACCCCACTCACTGTCAGTAAAAGCATGTGATGTAGTTCAGAATTCAGATTTGTGTGTCAAATTGCAATTAGTCAAGGTCTGTATTGTTTATGTTCAGAAGAGCAATGTTAGTAATGTTATTTATTTTAAATATGTCAACATAAAATTACTTGCAGTTGTGAAAAATCTGTCATATTGATTAGTCCTAATGTACAAATAAGATATGTTTCTGTTTAAATCCTAAAATCTATTTTTTGCAAATTACTATATTGACCAGTAGGTGTCACTGTCTGTATGTGCACCCATAGACTGTACTACTATGTATACTGTAAGTGTGCATGTCCAAAAACTCTTCCACATGACTAAAATCAACTGACTTCCATATAGTTTTGTAAAAAATAAAAATAAGCTTTTTCTATCTGTTTGTGTTGTAGTGGAGTCCAGAGGAGGAGCTCATCTTGACCAAACTGACATTTATTGGCTGCGGTGCCTCTCTTTGTGCTCTCGTAGTGACCTTGATGCTGTTTACCGTGCTGGAGTGAGTGAGATTTTCTTTTGTTGACATCTCTTCTTTAGGATTCCTGTTACTTACTCTTTTGGTAAACCTTGTGTTACATTTTGATTGGTACCACAAAAAAATACTCTTACTGTGCATTATATTTTCGATAAACTGTAACTCCGATTTTTGGATGTAATACAGTGTATGCACATTGTCTTAAAGTGGTTCATATTTTTTCTCAGTATTGTGTTCATTAATAAAACACCAGATCTGTTGCCACGACAGCTGTAAATGATCAGTGGTAGTTGTTGGTGCCCTCTTCTTAAGCAAGCAAAGGGTATTGACTAGTGCTAATCCAGTAATTACCTTTGTCTATATGTAAGTCCACTCGAAAGGTTTATGGCACCATTTTGGACTTGTTAATTAACACAACAGCCACACAGGGATCAGACTCAGCTGGAAAAGACTTGCTCAGACAATTTATGACATAGCCAAAATCAAAAAGCCCAGTTAAGCAATTCACACATATGCCACTGGGCATCTCATAAATCCTTTATATAGAATGTTCAGTTTATGTGTGTTCTCTTTTAATCAGCGTGTAATTACATGTAACTAATGTAATTGTACCCTCTCATTATATCTAGCATTCCTAAATCAGACAGAACCTCCATCCATAAAAACCTTTTCATTGCTCTGATCTGCGCTCAAGTGATTCTACTGTGCAGTGGCTCAGCGATCCACAACAAGGTACTGGACAAATAGCAATATTGTCTTCTATATCTGCCACCAAAGTCAATTATTTATAGTAAGTAGCCTGCTGTTGCCCAATGTTACCTCCATCAGTCTGCCAGTGGTTGGTCAGTTGGCTGCTGTTGTTTTGACCTTTGTGCCTTTAACCCCAGGTCATGTCTTGGTGAGCGCTGCCCCTTCAACCTTATGGTCATTAGGTCATTTACTCATTTAGAAACTTGTATATCTAGATTAGTTGGCAATTATCTTTAATTGTTGATAGTTAATTGTGATTATATAATTGTAAGAACTAAATAGACATCTGGTCTATATACTGTAAATTGGTATATGTATGAATATTTATCAGAAAATATTATTTCATAAAGATAGAAACAACTACCATAGATTAATTGTGATTTATTAGACAGTATGAATAAAATAAAATTAGATCAGATTGTACCAGTGTCATGGTGTCAATAATTATGAATATGAATCATTAAATCTTGATGCGTCTCCCTACAGTAATGATTAAAACACTAAAATCTGATATGATGGCCCTATGTAGAACATAAAAAGATACAAAAAAATTGCTTCAAGGTGAATGAAATGACTACCACTTCTTAAGTGACTGTAATTTATAGGTTAAAAATATCATGTAAATATAATGCAGTAACTTTTGTATTTGCAGGTGGCATGTACGCTGGTGGCGGCCCTGCTTCACCTCTTCTTCATGGCTGCGTTCAGCTGGATGCTTGTAGAGGGGCTACTTCTCTGGAGTAAAGTGGTGGCAGTAAACCTGAGTGAGGACCGGCACATGAAGTACTACTATCTGATTGGCTGGGGTACCTGTGCTCTCTGTGTCTTCAAACCTGAATATAGCTTTTGCTGTGGTTTTGAAGTGTGAATGTCTGTTCTCTGTGTTGTAGGTTTACCTGTGTTAATAGTAACTATCACCCTGGCTTCAGCCTCAGGCAAATACTCAGCTGATGGCTACTGCTGGCTTAGTGTTCAGACTGGTGTTATCTGGGGCTTTGCTGGACCAGTCATCTTCATCATTATGGTTAGCAATTATGGTTTTCTACCTATGATTAATGTACTAATTGCATCTAGCACTGTGCAATTAATCAAATGCTTAATTGTGATTTCAATTATTGCTTTATTCAATTACAAAAATTGTGTAATTGAAAATATTATTTTTTCTGCCCTAATTATATCTATGAATCTATGCAATAAATATGCTTGGACATAACATGCTCTTTTCTCTTTCAAACGTTATCTCACAAATTTGATTAATCTTGTAACCTTTAGTTTTTCCTCTTCTCTCAGGTGAATATCCTGGTGTTAACTCGAGTGGTGGTCATCACGATCTCTACAGCCAAAAGGAGGTCCATCTTACTGGCCATGGGAGCAAGCCCTGTGGAACAGGCGTATGAACAAATCAGGTAACAGCCACAAGGAGGCACCATTTATCTGCATTTTAACGTTTTGCCAGCTTCAGAGTAATCAGTAAATAAAAAGTAGAGTATCTTTAAAGGGATCAAATCAAGTTATTCACATGTGATTATAATTCACACATCAAATTTAACTGAAACACCTTTCTTTTCATAATTTATTTAATGAACCTTCTTTATGTCTGTCTTATATGAATTGCACTGGTAAAATCCACTGCTCTTACCCAGCCCTCCAGAGCCCACAGTAGATGCTCTATGGAGATTTTCAAAGGTGGCCTTGAACCATCTGACACCCGTGGGTGGCAGTCGCAGCGGAAACTCAAACACATTCCTCCGCTGAACAAACTAGGCCCACTGCCCACTGACATGTCGCACGCTCAGGAACACACACACAGCTGGTGTGGTTTGGCGGTCACCTGAGCCCAAAGTTAATTCCTCTCTAAACAGAATTATCGTATGAATTATGGAAGTTGTCACCCAATGAACCTCCTTTGCTATATACAGTTGTGTATGGAACAAGTAGGGAGCCAAACATAGACAAAAAGGATTAGAAAATGCGAGAAACATGAGGCCAGGGTCCAGTTGATAACTTGAGAATACCAGAGTGGTTGTCATGTTGTAATATGCACAGGGCTGCAGTGAAAGCTGTGCTGGTCTTGCTGCCTATCCTGGGTCTGACGTGGCTGTTTGGCATCTTGGTCCCTTTCTCCATCGTCATGGCGTATATTTTCATCATTCTCAACTCCCTACAGGTACACATAACCAAACCACACAAACACTAGCACTGTAAGAAAGGGCATTTAATTAAATATTTAAATCTAAATTATACTGGTGTTATATCAAATCCTCAGATGTATGTTAGTCTATGTTATAGATAATGCATATGCAAAATGCAAACCTTCGGTAATAGTTTCACCTAAGTATAGTCATCATTAATAACAAGTTGTCTGGTCATGTTTAGATTGTGTCTTTTACCATAGGCACAGAGGGCAAGATGGAACACTGGGAAAATGTTCATAGTAAATTTCATAAGTTGGAAAATGCAATTTACTTCTCCTGCCAGAAAGTCACATAATCTTGCTTCTCCACAAACACCTATCAGCAGGGCTAGTTTTCATGAATCTTGAATTATGCTCACGGTTTTGCCTTGTGTATTAAGGTTGGTCCCAGTTAAGACCTGGTGGTGCTGGTGTAAAGTGGTGTGAAAAGTTTGAGGACCACCAGCTGTGGGCAATACCATTAGACTACCATAAGATGACTGTGTTTTTCTTCTGCATTTTACATTGACTCAATGATGTAACCCAGTTGTTTGTCTACCAGTGTTTTCTTGCCTTCTGTATCGGTGATGTTAAAAGACAGCAATAATTTTATGAATAATTGTCATGAATAATTTCCTCTCATGATTTGCATTAATTTCAATTATGGCCTTTATTACCATAATATTGAGTAAAACACAGCCTTCTCTGGCCTGTTTAGTGCTTTAGAGGACACTGTATCAGAAGGTGTTTCACCTAATAGCTCCTCGTAAAGATGATGAAATGTATGTAACCAGAACAATGCTCAGGGCAAAGCTGCCAGATAGGGCATAATAATAAATACATGGGAACCATGCTTACTTTTCTTTTTTTAAGAAATCGTTTTTTATTTGTGGTTGTTGTATTTTCAATGGGGCCGACCGATGCAACATAAAGCTTAAGCGGCAAGCCTTTACTGTTAAATCAATAAAACAGATAATGTTGACAAGCCTTTTTCATTGCGCTTCCCTCAGTGCCCTCTCTGTGGCTCTTCTTAACACTCGACTAGAAACACTTTGTAATGTCTTTCTATGATTATTGCCCGTTTTCTCCATACAGATCTGATTGGCCCATTAGAAGTGAGTGCAAGTGTTAACCTTGATCTCAACATCCAAGATCTGATGCTTCCAGAATGGATGTCAGACATTTTTGTTAATTTGAAATTAGGATTTTTTAAATTGAATCATTCCAACACGCCCATGACTGACTGGTTTTGTAAACTTTGTTAGCACTGGTATGTATTGGTACCATACATTTTTTTCATTGTTTTTCTTGCAAGCTAATTTTCAAATGATGTTCTGTTACTTACTTTTGATTACTGTTCTGTTACTATTTCAGTTCTTTGCATGTGTATTTCACAAGTTTTTCTTAATCCATTTCAATATACTTTTCTTAAGAATTGTAGAATTGCTCTACAGTGAGATTTAACTAAGCCAAAACCTGAGGAGAACTTCCTAGAGTGAGCCTATAGTTTTATGTCCAACGTGGCCATAAATACAGCCATGGCTCATCTGGCTCCTTATCAATCTAAGGCTAAACAGCACAGCGGTGTGTAGGGGTGCGTATGGGTATGTGTATGTACGTGTGTGTGTGTGTGTGTGTATGTGTGTGGGGGGGGCTTGTGTGCACTAGAGACCCATAAATTGCTCCACCTTCCGTCATCCAATCTCTGGGCAATGTCATTCAAAACCCCGGCTCTATCCATTACTTGGATATAATAGGCTCCTGGCCATGCAGTGTCCATCTTATTATTAGGCCATAACTTTAAACTATCAATAACTTTGAGCTGCATAGTGGGAGAGTGGAGGGAATTAAAAGGAGCATAGGGAAAAGTGGACTGAAGTTATGGACAGGAAAATGCTCTGGTAGTCACTTGGGTAAATATTTGGCAACAGGATAGGGCTGTGTGGTTCTTTTGACTCGTGTCATTTTTGTCATGTCAGTGAGCAGCCTGTGGGGGGCAACCCTGTACCTGTGACTATGCTGATATACAATCTAAAGTAAAGTATGAAAATAGATTTTAGATGTTTTTAATATATTAATTCTTATTAGTTTATTGTTTATTTTTTATTGCGAAATAGAACTTGGTATAATAACAGCAATGACAAACAATTTTTTTTTTTACTTGAATGGCTTGATTCTTAATACAGATTTTCACACAATATACCGCAATTTTCAACTCAAAATGATAGCAACATTTGTCTTGCTTTATTAGTTTTGATATAGATCCCAATCATTCTCAAACTACTCCAACTTTGTCATAAATTTTTAGTATCATTACCTGCTCAGAGAAGAGTTAAGTTTTACTATCAATTAGTAACTGACTATTGTTTTTAGTATTGTTTTATTATTAATTTTAATTGTTGTCACCCCTAATGCCAGTATTGGAGCAAATACAGAAACATACTAAATGAGATTTAAACCAATTTAAACCAAAATGAAAAGACTCAGTTCTTTTATTCTTCTTGTAGTAAGGTCGCTTGACTGTTCAAAAATATAGTTGTCTTTGCAGTTGTCTTGTCTACCAGAGCATGTCATCGGACTGTACCACAATATGGATATAATCAATAGAGTCTTGGTCTTCTTATTGATTTTTGCCTTATGGGGGAGCTTTGGTGTGAGTAAGCATTGCTCTTACACAGCTGCTAAAACAACTGTTCCTGGTATGATTTGTCTGTCCGTGTTGTCCTATTGATCCTAACCTGAAAGTTGTGATTTGTGCATTTTTTTCCAGTATTTTGGAAAGAATAAAAAATCTAAATAGAAGAGTGAAAACATTTAGCCCAATGAGACATAATGATTGCCACACCATGCTTTTTTGACATAACTAGGCCTAACAGCTGTACGCAAACTTTCCCATATACAGTAAGTAGGAAAAGTGTGCCCTTAATTTTACCTTGAGTCAGCCAGACATTACTCGTGCTTTTACAACCATCCACGGTCTCCATACTTGTTTATTTAGAGGAAGAAATAAATGACATATAAGCACAGCCATATTGACTTCTATTTTGCCTAACGCTGTCACTTTAAAAGTCACACTGGATTGGCTGTTTGTTGATGATTCCTAAAACATGGGTGCATCAAGTGTTCCCTCAACAGATTAAGGACTGAACCTGTACCTCAGAGCGCCCAAAATGCAAGCCAAAGCAATTTGCAGCTCAATTGGTCAGACAAGATGTAATTTAGAGGAAAGACGAAGGGTAAAAAGTATACAAAATATTTAAAATGAACCTGTTTTTCCCCTTTGTGCAACTAATCCTAAAATATTTTACCACAATGTACGAATGTCTTATTATAATGGAGTTTCCACGAATACACATTTTATTTTTTTCTTTATTCATAATTACATTCATTTGTGCCTTTATTAATATAAATATTATTTTTTAGCCATGCTTTCTTGGAACAGGTGAGAGAATATGGTCATATTATTTTCAAGCATTTTAATTTAATTTTAAACTGAAAGTAAGTATAGTAAATCATTTGCAGTTTAATTATATTTGAATAAACAGCTTTGCATTTGGTCACTGTATCATTAAAACCACAAAAGAAATTCTTCAATTAGGACAGCTACAAAATTAGGTGTCTGGATAGCTTTACTTTTAAGTCAGTGCACATATAGGTGCAATCATTCACATTTATTTATAAAAAACACACTTTAATGAGTTTCTTGGATAATTATGAGATGGATATGAACAAAACAAACTAAATAAATGCGCCACACGATTGTTTGCATTCTGGTTGCTTGGGAAAAATAGCTCTCCTTTGAAAAAAAAAAGTCCAGTACTCGCTTTGCAAACTCAATTACCAGAGGCAGCATTAAAACAATATTCAAACAGGATACCAAGGTCAGAACTGACTCCCACTACGCTCGGAGATGGCACTTCTAATGAGCACGCTGCACCGCCTTTTTAAGTAGTATATTTATAGTGTGTTTTGTCTCAACTTGTACTTATTTGCCTCTTTTCATCTCTCGCCGTATTGCCACATTTAGTGATAGAGCTCATGATTTAACCCGAGAATGCGTTACAGATGGTGGCTTCATTTAAGGTATTAGACTCAAGGTTTTCGAGATGGAACCGCTCATATTAAAATGGTCACCCAAGTCGACGTGAAATAAACCTGATTAAAAATACCAGTCTTGGTGGTGTATGTTAAGATTTACTGGACAAGATCGACACCGAAGGAATGGCTGATTTTGTGAAGAAATATTATAGGCTAGCGAGATCAGTGTTCAAACGCGAGGCATGGCTGGGTAAATAAAGTTGTAAGAATAATAGGCTTCCTGTCAAAAGAGGTGAGAGAATTCCTGTCATTGCTCACACAGGCACCCTCAAGACCTTTCCTTGTGTTAAACCCGCTGGCATTTATTTGCTTTAGAATTACCTGCCATCTCAATTTAGTAATAGGCCATGTCATAAGAAAGCAAACGCTGTCCTTTTGCTCCCTCCTCGCTAAGCTTTTGTATCGAATGTTATTGTGTGAATGACTCTCTGGAAGCATGGTACACAATGCAGCTCCTGTATCATGCAGAGTAGAGTATAGCTATGAACAATTTTGGAATGCTCTAATCTGACAGTTTTTGAGAGTTCATTTAAAATTTTGTTTGTAAATCAGTTTTTTGTGGGGTGGATAAGATCTTGAGTAGAGTAGTTGTCAATTTGGTGACAGCTAATTGGCATCCAAATTATGAAACTGCAAACAATTTACTTTGTTAAGATGAGCCTTTATTTGTCCCACAGTGGGAAAATTACAGTGTGAAATTACAGTTCACAGTGCATATTTTGAACATGCTTTGAACATTTCAGAGAAGAGTTATTTTATGTACTGCTAAACAAAATTCCATCATTTCGTTTTTTAAATAAACATACCAAAATGAATCAGGTGGCAACTGGATATTCTGTTTGCAAAAGACATAAAAAAATAACACAATAATACCATACAATTTATTACTTGCAGTG